CTTCTCCTCCCAGGGTTTTGCACAGCTAAAGGGGGCCTGGTGAGCTCCATCCTGCATCCCCGGCCCATCAAGTTCAAGTTCTACAAACACAGCATGAAGTTTGTGGCTGCTCTCTCTGTCCTGGGTGAGTGTCCCCTGCACCCCACGCTGCCGGTGGCCCTGAAAGCCCCATCCCAAATCCCACTGAGCTCTGTGCTGTCTCCCCAGCTCTCCTCGGCACCATCTACAGTGTCGTCATCCTCTACCGCAACCGGGTAAGCCCAGGGGCCGGCGAGTGGGAAGGCTGCTGGCGGGAGCCCAGGGCTCCCCCATCTGGCCCTTGGCATTCACGGTGCCTCCTGCCAGGTACCTGTGAACGAGATCGTGATCCGGGCTCTGGACCTGGTGACGGTAGTGGTGCCACCCGCCCTGCCAGCAGCCATGACTGTGTGCACACTCTACGCCCAGAGCCGGCTGCAGAGGCGGGGCATCTTCTGCATTCACCCCCTGCGCATCAACCTGGGGGGCAAGCTCCGCCTGGTGTGCTTCGACAAGGTGGGGGCCGTGGACGGGGCTGGCGCGGGGCTCGGGCATGGGCCAGGCCTCCACACCTGCATTCTTCACTCAGCAGTGTTGACTGAGGGCCTGTTGAATGCCCAGCCCTGTCCTGGGGCAGAAATACTCAAGGGAACTGCGCACCCCTCTTCCCCCCGCAGCCCTCACCCATGTCAGGCTCACGGTCTGGCAGATGAAGTGTCCAAAATTATTAATTCATTTGTTCAAGAAACACTGAGGGCCTACTGTGCGCCCAGTGCTGCCTTCAGCACTGGGGACCCATCAGTGACCCACACAGAGATGTTCCGTGGACGTGTGTGTGTGTGTGTGTGTGTGTGTGTGTGTGTGTGTGTCCACAATGAGTGAACCAGGGAGCACAGATTGCCGCAGGTGGTAATGGGGTTTAGGAAGGAAGAAAATGGGGTACATGATGAGTGGTACATGGGGTCACTTCCTTAGAGGGCAGCTGATGCTCTTTTAAACAAGTCCTTGGGTGACCTCATGAGATGGGGCCAGGGCTGGGGGCAGGGGAGTGGGTGGAAGGAAGCAGTGTGGCTCCTTGGAGGAACAGGCTGTGTGTCTGGAGTCTGGGGAGCAGTGGGGAACAGGGGCTGGGGGCTCTGGTGAGGAGTTTAGATGTTGTTCAGAGGGCAGTGGGGGCTACAGAGAGGTTTTAAACAGAAAGGGTGGGGCATGGTCAGATTCAGAGAGCTCCCAGGCTAGCAAGGAAGCCAGACATGTAACTGTCAGTTGGAGTACAGTGTGGGCATTCATTCATTCTTTCATTCTTTCATTCATTCATTCATTCATTCAACAATTACTTTGAGTGCAGGCATTCTCCCTGGTACTACAGTGAACAAATTATGGGGTAGCAAAGAGGCCATGGGTGGGAGCCCAAAGGAAAGACCACCTGACCCAACTGTAGGGTAGAGGAAGACTTCCTAGAAGAAACGATGCCAGGCAAAGGCCCAGAGGCAACAGCGGACCTCTTCCGGCTCCAGCTCTGGCTCCTGGGGCTTCCATGGGACCCGCCTGGCCTGGGGGGTGGGCGCCCAGCCCAGCAGGGCACAGCTCATCCCAGGCCTCATCACTGGCCCGCCCCCTTACCCCCTGCAGACGGGCACCCTCACTGAGGATGGCTTGGATGTGATGGGTGTGGTGCCCCTGAAGGGGCAGGCCTTCCTGCCACTGGTCCCAGAGCCCCGCCGCCTGCCCATGGGGCCCCTGCTCCGAGCACTGGCCACCTGCCACGCCCTCTGCCGGTTCCAGGACACCCCAGTGGGCGACCCCATGGACCTCAAGATGGTGGAATCTACTGGCTGGGTGAGGAGGCCAAGCAGGTCAGCCCCCTGCCTCTGGGCAGCTGGGCCCTAACTACGCTCACCTGGTCTTCATTCTAGGACTTCCAGGGTGGTCTCTGTGACGGCCACCATCAGTCATAACCATGGCCAAGGCCACATGCCGAGCACCTACCAAGTGCCAGCACTCTGTTGCACATGGCCCTTGTCTCCCCATAGCCCTAGGAAGGAAGCTTAAAACCTCCTTCTCAGGGAGGAAACTGAGGCGGAGGGAGATTTGGAATAATGTGTCCATGGTCACCCAGCAGCTTCTAAGTGGCTAAGCCAGAGTTTGAACTTGGGTCCCCCTGACCTCAAAATCCACATTCTTCTGTCCTGTTCAGTCTCCCATTAAGGAAGTCATTCATAAGTCTTAACTTGAAGCTCTCCTGCTACCTCTCCATGGGCCGAGGATTGGCTGCCCCAGGCCAGGCCAGCGCCCAGCCCCTCGATGCCAACCTTCTCTGCCTGCTTCCCAGGTCCTGGAGGAGGGGCCAGCTGCAGACTCGGCATTTGGGACCCAGGTGTTGGCTGTGATGAGACCTCCGGTTCAGGAGCCCCAGCTGCAGGGCATGGTGAGCCGAGGGTGTGCCTGTGGGGTGTGATGTGGGAGCGGAAGGCTACGTAGGCCGGCCCCTCAGCTGCCCCTCCAACCCAGCAGGAGGAGCCCCCACAGCCAGTGAGCATCCTCGGCCGCTTCCCCTTCTCATCAGCCTTGCAGCGTATGAACGTGGTGGTGGCGTGGCTGGGGGCTGCTCAGCCCGAGGCCTACGTCAAGGGCTCCCCTGAGCTGGTGGCAGGCCTCTGCAACCCAGAGACAGGTGAAGAGGGGGGGGCCACAGAGTCCGCTGGATGGCATGGGCATGGAATGGGGTGGGTGCCCAGCCTCTGTCCTTGCACCCACCTTCTTGTCCCCATGACACCTGCCTCTGCCTGGCAGTGCCCACCAACTTCGCCCAGATGCTGCAGAGCTACACGGCCGCCGGCTACCGCGTTGTGGCCCTTGCCGGCAAGTCACTGCCCATTGCACCCAGCCTGGAGGCAGCTCAGCAACTGACCAGGTGGGCCTTGGGGACCAAGCCTTGGGCCCAGGTATAGGCAGAGGGAGGTCCATGTGCAGACAGAGCCCAGGGCCGGGGGAGGGGCCTTGGCTGCTGCGTGACCTATGACCCACCCTGCAGGGACACTGTGGAGCGTGAGCTGAGCCTCCTGGGGCTGCTGGTCATGCGGAACCTGCTGAAGCCACAGACAACACCCGTTATCCAGGCTCTGAGGAGGACCCGCATCCGCACGGTCATGGTGACAGGTACCAGCGGGGTCTGGTGAGGAGGGCAGACTCTGCCCCCTCCTGGGCAGAGAAGATAACCAGCGTCACTTCCCCAGGCCTCCCTTCAGGCCCTGCTTCAGGCCAGGCCCTTGTCAGACATGTCATGGATCTTTACAGCATCTCTCCCTAGCGGTCCTTGTCGCCCATCTGACAGATGAGGAAGGTAGGGCTCAGAGGAGTAGAGTGGCTTCCAGAGAGCCCACGGGTGGTGTCGGACAGCCTGGGTTCCAACCCGACGACGCACCTGATGGGTGACCTCTCCAAGGTCTGGTTTCCACCTCTGAGAAATGGGGGAAATGACTTGAGCCTCAAAGGTTGTGACAATTTCATGGAGCAAGGAAAGAAAAATTCTAGCTGGCACAGAGTGACACGGAGGAGCTTAATAGGTCTGTATTCTCTCTCTCTCNTGCTGAGGCTCCTGCTTGTCCTCAGAGAAGGAATGGGTCGACTCCAGTGAGCTGGTGCCCGGAGACTGCCTGATGCTGCCCCAGGAGGGCGGGCTGATGCCCTGCGATGCTGCACTGGTGGCCGGAGAGTGCATGGTCAACGAGAGCTCTCTGACAGGTCAGCCCCAACCCCTGGCCCGTGGCCTCCTGCACATCCTCCTTCCCTGCCACCAAGCCCCTCAGCCTTGTGTCAGAGCTTCCAGTTCGCGTTTTCGTTTCCTCTCGTGCTCAGCTAATGACCCCGGCTTCCGGCTTCCGCACTCGCTAACCCTACACCCCTTAGGCCCTCAGTAAGAAGTCACTACTCCGCCAGGCAGTGGGCTTAGGGCTTTACAGAGGTTAAGCCCCCTCATGTCAATATCTTTATTGGTTTGAATTATAAAAATAATACAGCTTGGTATAAAACAAAGCCGACAGAAGAAGAAAGTCTTTCCCAGCCTCTGCCCCCCAGCTATGTGCGTGCATGTGCACGCAAACTCTCTGGCTCTCCTAAGAGAGGGTTCCTGGTAATTGGCTGGCACACACCCTTCCGGGATTGTCTCGCTGTGTCTTTGTCTTTGCCCTCTCTGAGCCTCAAGATCCCTCTCTGTATATTGGGGGCAGTGATTTCTTCATACATGGTTAGAAGAGTTACACGAGACCATGGGCTTATGAAACAATTCTGCGCATAACTCTTACCTAATTGGCGGGAGGGAGTGGCGTGGAGGCCCTCATGGGTCTCACGCTACATCCCTCCCAGGGGAGAGCATTCCAGTGCTGAAGACAGCCCTGCCGGAGGGGCCGGTGCCTTACTGCCCAGAGACCCACCGGCGGCACACACTGTTCTGCGGGACCCTCATCTTGCAGGCCCGGGCCTTCGTAGGACCCCACGTCCTGGCAGTGGTCACCCGGACAGGTAGGAGTCAGGGAGGCAGAGGGTGTGCTGGGCCCAGCGCCTCGACGAGCGGTGACACAGGGCAGGGTGGGACCCATCTATGCCACGGCCGTGCTGCGGGACCTTGGGCAAATCCCACCCCAGTTTGGGGTTGGCTGGAGGGGGCAGGGATGTGGCAAGCAGGAAAGAACCCACCCCATCAGAAGGGGCAGTGCTATACAGGAGCCCCCTCTTATCTGTGGCTTCAGTTACCTGTAGTCAACCGAGGTCTGAAAATATTAAATGGAAAACTCCAGAAATAATTATTCATTTTAAATTGCATGCCGTTCTGAGTAGCAAGATGAGATCTCGTGCCATCCCGCTCCGTCCCACCAGGGACGTGAACCATCCTGGTCCAGCATCTCCACGCTGTATTTTACCCGCCCGTTAGTCACTTGCAGCTGTTTCCATTATTAGATGCACTATCATGGTACCACAGTGCTTGTGTTCAAGTAACCCTTATTTTTACTTAATAATGGCCCCAAAGCACAAGAGTAGTGATGCTGGCAATTCGGATATGCCAGAGAGAAGCCGTAAAGAGCTTCCTTTAAGTGAAAAGGTAT